ACCAGCTTAAACCGGAAGGATGTTTGTCAAAGCCACAGCTTCTGAATGTGTTTTGCAGACCAGGTTAGCAAAGACAGGCTGGAACATAAACTTCTGAAAATACGCACCAGGGGAGTCTTTCTTCTGGTCATTTACTTAATAAGCTTAGAAGCGAATAATTTTGCAGGCAAAGAGCATGCATCTCAGCACCACGCCTCATGCACATGTGTAGGGACCCTTCGGCAGGGTGTTGTGCAGTCCGCCGCCCACCTCTTGGCTCTGCCCGCCTTCCCATGACTCAAGGAAAGACACCTAGCCCCTTCATCTCCTTGTCTGTATTTCTTAAAAGCCGTAATTAAGATTCCTGCATCTCCCACTTCACAGGGTTGTAGCAATTACCTTGATTAGTGTATGCAAAAGTGCTATCAACATTATAAATTTGCATATCAAATGAAATCATCATTATTAATAGCTCCTTCAAGAGTCACTTTCCCATGGAAACACCAGGATTTCTTAACAAAGGAGAAGACAGAGCCATCGCTTGACAGCTTGGCTAAACAATGTTCAGGATTCTGGCTGAGGAGGGCAGAGGGAGCGACTCATTGCTTTTCCTCCTGGGGGATCCTCGGACCGGAAGGATTTGGAGGGTGTGGACAGACAGGATGAAATCCCGGCACTGTGCAGAGGCGCCATTGCGAAGGAGCAAGCACCTGCAGGGCGGGCCCAGAGAAGGCAGGCACAGAGCCAGCAGCCACCAAGGGCGGGCTCACCAGGTGACTTAATTAAGGACCGTTGGCTGGTCCCCGACCCACGTGGGTCGAGGAGGCTTGTGCTTGTATGTATCCTGCCTTCCACTGGGGAGAGAGACCCAGTTACAGGGGAAACTGGAGCTGCACTGTGAGAGTAGAGTTGGTATTTTTCTCACAAATGTGAATATTCATAAGTATGGAAGCCACAAGCAGGATAAAAGAGAAAGACTGACTATAAACAAAGCGGGCTTGATCAGAGGAAGCACAGTCCGAGAAGAGAGGAGGCTCAGCTGTCGAGGCTCCCCAGGGACCTGTGAGGAGCGTCACATCTATAAAACAAGAGGGAGGAGGAACCTGAGAACAAGAGAGATGTCTTGAGTGATACACATTGCGGAAATTAAGAAGCAGTGGGCATTTGAAGAGCTGTTGGGGAAGTTTCAGAAGGGCCCAAGGACACAGAGGAAATGGGTAGATGCACCAGGAAAGGGAAGAGACTGAGGATCCGGTCGGAATACTGAAAATTGGACAAAAATGTATGTAAAGGAAGGAATTTATCAAAGAATATGAAAAAAAGTACAGAAATAAACAGCTTAAATAAATCAGAGCAGGTGCGTGGCTCACGCCTACACACATTCTTATGAAATTATAAAACATCCAGTTTACAAAAAGGGTCTTTCCCCTCCGTAGGCAGGGCGGGGCAATCCGGCAGAGACGTCAGCCAGATGCCTCTGGTTAGAAACATTAGGTAAGAGATAATAGAAAAATCCCCCCCCAGATGTGCAGGGAAAATAATGTCAAGCACAGAATTCTCCCCAAGCAAAGCTACTCCAGGAGTTTGAGAGCATGGTTGGCATGCAGCCTGTGAGTGAGCATGCCCGGTTTCTGTCCGCACATGTTCTGACGGTGTTTCTTGAGGCTGCATCTGTCAGGCTGGGAGAAGGGAGGAGGAAGCAGCAAGGCTGGTGCTGGGGGTGTGGCTGGGGCCCGGGGAAGGACGTGGGCCTGTCCACGGACGTGGGGACTCGTTGGCCAGCAGGCGTGCCAAAGGCACTTCCTTCCTTTCAGTGAAAGAAGAGAAAGCGGAGCACCCAGAAAGCACACATAAGACTTCAGAGGCTCTCTGCGGAGGTCTAGCAACAAATGTGGGTCAACCCTAAATGTGAGGCGGCTTTGAGTGAGTGGTGGCAGGAGTGGGAATGTACGAGCGTGGCCCCTGGCGCTCTTGGGACATGGTGCGGGGATAGCACAGGAACCGTGGCTCAGCCTGCGCTTGGCGGTGGCCCCTACTGCGTCCTGACTGTGCGAGGCCGTGTAATGCTTTCCAACATTTAGGCTCACCGACAGAGGGTGGAAGACTGAAGTACGGCACAGAAGAGGCTGTGCTAGTTACGGTAACATGAAAATATGTGCGTATGAGACGAGGCGGCTCGCCAGGCCGGCCAGGGGCCCGACGGCGCGCTCTCTGCTTGACAGCATAAGGAGGAGAAGTGTAAGCATGTTACCTGAACCCATGAATGTTACAAACACGATCATGAAAAAGCAAAAAGCGTCAGATTTTACCAGCGCAAATCAATATTCAGAATTGAAAAAAATGGAAATACAGAATGGATATAGTGTTTGGAGTCACGAGGACCCAAAAGGAAAGTGATCAGCGCCAGCTTCCCTGCCGGGCCAGTGGGAGAACACCGTGTCCCTTCCTGAGCTCCCTTCTGCTTGAGTTTTTACCAGATACTGCGCTATTTGGATAACAGTAAGAACTGTCCTATCCGTAAGCACATGTCTCTGCTACCCGATTTGTCCTACGGGCTCGTCAGGGGAAAGCACCTGCAGGCACTGAGTGACGTGGATGAGCTGGTGTCCCACCTGGAAATGGGAGGCATCGTGATCAGGTTTTCCTTCAGAATCCGCGCACGTTTGTAACTTTTGTAACTTTGTAAGTAAGTAAGAGTATCCTTCCCTCTTGGAGGTTCCTGCGCATTTGCTTAAATACCTGAGCTTAGAAGGAAGGTCAGATGTCACAGCAACTTTAAGTAAATGGTTTTTACAAAATATTTGTACCAGTGATTTTGCACACATCTCCCTAATCTCTTGTTAATCAGTGTGTCTATGAAACCTTCTCTTTATAACAAGAAGGCAAGTTTCAGCACTTTATTCCTCAGTGTTTATAGTCACTAATTCATGTACAGTCTCACTTCATGGAATAAATTCAGTTCACGTAGGTAAATCGCCTGCACAAAAACCAGCGTATTCACTCGCCATTTTCCCGTGAGTCTCTGTAAAATGTTACTGTTTTCCAAGGGAGGTCTGAGAGTAGCTTTCAAGACTTCCTAGAATTGAGTTTTCCAGAAAAGTGGGAAGATATTGGACAATCGGCCCCAGAGCTGGGAAATCCTGGAAAAACTACTCAGCAGATCATAGCGACCTAAGCACTGGGGTTGGGAATAGAGCCCAATGGAGGCGAGACACAGGTCCCTCCCTCTCACCTTCTATCTGCCTCCCTTCCT